CTTTCTGTTGAGTTCATTAGATTTAGCTTGCTTTGGGGCCTAGACTGGAAAAAGTGAATAAAAGCAGATTACCTGATTGAAAGCACTTTTAAATTATTGTGATTACTGGGATGAGGATATTATGTATTCTTATGGTGAAGATCATAATTATTCACAACATTTTAATTGTCTTCTATCATGTAATTTTTCTTGGAAAAAAAAAATCAATCATAGCCGATTAGCTTTCTTCTGAAGAAGACTGAAATGCAGAGGTGCCTGCTTTTACACATATTTTGTTTTCAGTATGTTTTCAGTGCTTGCATTTCAGTTTGCCTGTTAGAAGGTAATGTTTAAAGAAAATGTCTTAAGTCTTAGTAAGTGAACTATATTAATGTGTGTTTTTATATGAAGTAAACTGAATCAATTGAGTAAATTGAAAAAAAAAATTACTTGTTACAGAATAAACTGCTTAAAAACAAACTATTCTTTCCAAAATTTTTAAAATTATTATTTCTATTTCTAAGTGGGTTTGGAACCAGCACCTCTTTCTGTGTCTGAAGAACGGCAACTTGCAATTCTGACAGAGCTACCTTTCGTAGTTCCTTTTGAAGAAAGAGTAAAGGTATCTAATTTCTATTTTAATGTGCACTTGGTTTTTATTTTTTTAATTTTTGAGCTTTTCTGTCTTCAGTAAATGTAAAAAGAGCACTTAGATAAGTAGAAGTTGGGGCACTTCTCCACAGAAGGGAATCCCAGTGTTTGCATGGCGACTGCAGTGGAGAACATCCTAAGATTACTTTTTTATTTTACTGTTTATGTTTCTTTATTCATAGTAAGTAAACTAAAATTAGAAACATATATTCCATGATAAAATTGCCTGAGAGTGGTACCTGTATAGTGAACTTTAGTTCTAATTCAGTGATTGCCCTGTCCTCTGATAAGCAGAGCACTAACTGGTTGTGTGCCCATTGCCAGGTCAATATTGAGACTTCTTGTGCAGTGGGTGGGTTTACTAAGAATGAGGTGATGGAAATCCCGTCGGAGAAAATAGCACCTTGGGATTTAAATAGAGTAGGTAGTTTATAACTTGCAAAATTCTTGTATTATTTGATTTGCTTTTGAATGTTTCCTGGGTTTTAAGTGTAAGATTGTTGGGTCCATTTGCTGTTCCCATTTGCATCATGTATTTTTTTTTAAAAAAGCTACTATTTTGCTACTCATAAACAATTTCAAACTACTTCATTGTCAGCAGTATCAGTTCATTAAAAACTACTCCCTGAATTGTCTTGGAGATGTTGAGTTACTATTGTAACTCCATCAAGAGGATGAGAAATAGTTCCACAGGGAGAGTAAATCAGTATTTGCCAAAAAAAAGGTGACAAATTTGGTAGAAAAAGACTGTTTTGGACCTCCAAAAAAGCCCATCTCAGTAGCATAAGACAGTACTGAATTAGGAATACAGGCAGACGGTTGGAAGTAACCTCAAGCAGAGGTCTGTATGTGACAATTAGGTCACTGTCTGCAGCCTCCACGCCTCTTAAAGCTATGTCAAGATGTACATATTTTTGCTGGAATTCACAGGCCCTCATTTTATTATATCACAAAACCCCAAAATTGGCTTCTCATTTTGAAGGTTAACATATTTTAAATCAAATAAATGAATGAGAATTAGGAGAGAAGGAAAAAGCTGCAGTCAAATATGATAGTCTTGGTTCACTTCAAAGAGGAGTTCCTCTTACTACGTTTTTTTTGGACCCAGTAGGTCTTATTGTGTATTAGTGGGACAGGAACATTTTAGAATCTTCTGCTTCTTTCAAAACTCCTACAAATCAGCTCTCAATGAAGGAAGAAACTACTCTATCGTGTAATGTTTCAGTTCATAGAATCATAGAATCATAGAATGCTTAGGGTTGGAAGGGACCTCTAGAGATCATCTAGTCCAACCCCCCTGCATGCGCAGGGACACCTAAAGCACGTGGCACAGGACTGCATCCAAGCGGGTTTTGAAGATCTCCAGAGAAGGAGACTCCACAACCTCTCTGGGCAGCCTGTTCCAGTGCTCTGTCACCCTCACTGTTAAGAAATTTTTCCTTAAGTTCCTATGGAATTTTTGATGTTTCAGTTTCCGGCCATTTCCTCTAGTTGCCATATTGCACTGTCATTTAATGTGATAATACAAGTTCATGCTGTTTCCATGTATGGGTTGTTCCATATGCACTTTTCTGGCTTTTTGGTGAGATTTTTACCTTGAATTACCAGATATTATGTACTCTCAGAAGTGATGATTCCGCCCAGTAGGGCTCCTGTCCCCTTCAGTTTAAAGCAGATTGTTGTGCAGCATCAAATACCTTGGTTCTCTGTGGGAAGCAATTACTTGGGTTTTATTTCCTGCTTGCTGAGACCTTAGTTCAAAAAGCCTGTAGATTTTGGGGTATGTCCCATGAGGGGACACCCTGCTGCTGGGATCCTGCTTGTTTAGAGGGAGCCTTTTCCCACGGTCCTTACTCTGAACTGAGGATCAGCAATCCAGAAAAGAAGTCCTTGTTAGATCTCTCCAAGTCAAGGTGTCTCACCTAGAAGATGTGACAAATTTGTGTTCATGATTAATCTGAGCTTTGGATGTGTATAAGCAGTGCAGTTCTTACTGGAGCACCTGCATTTAATTTCTTCTAAGCTCCTCTTCTTTTCCTTGTTGCCAGGACTTTACCACTGCTTTGTAGTGTGTTTTTGTGCACCCAGCAGAAGACCAGAAAGGAAAGTGTCCCTGTCCTTTCTCAGATATTTCTGTAGTTTAACTGCGGTTTGTACTGCAGTCAGCATCTCTTGCTTTTCTTTTATTGGGAATGCTTCAGTTACACACTGGGGTGTAGATTTCAGGATTTCAAGATGCAGCATATTTCCAGATTTACATGTGCATGGACATATGCAGTCCATTTTTAGCAATCTAGTTTCCATATCAAGAAGAATTTTGCCATGAGATATACCCTAAAAACTTTCTTTCCATCTATTATTTGTTGTGTAGCAGTGATTATGAAACTATCCAGCCATATACTTCTTCAGGAAGGAAAGTGGTGGTGAGCATATTCTCATGTCCTGTTCATAAAAAGATGCTAGCTCTGAGTGTGCACCTTAATGTCACAGAGTCGTAGAGGAGTTTGTGAGAGAAGCCTCTGGAGGTGCTCCGTCCAACTCCCTGCTCCAAGCAGGAGTAGCTTCAAAGTTGGATCAGGATGCTCGAGGCTTTACACAGAGCTGTTTTGACTGTGCAAAGATTTCACAGTCTCTCTGTGCAAGCTGTTCCAGTGCTTGACCACTCTTACACTATATCTTTATTTCCAGTCTGCATTTCCCTTGCTGCAGCTTCCAGATTTCTCTAGCAAGAGAAATCCTTGTCCTACTGGGCACCTGAGAGAAGAGTCTGGTTTTACCTACACTATAATCCTCTTAGTTGGAGATTGTCCCCTTCAACCCCTCAGTTATCCATGGAAAGAGCAGATTTGAGACCTCGCTCCAGCTTTGTGCCTGGCTGTGTCAAAGCTTCCTCTTTCACTGTGAATTTGTGCTTTTCTTCTCTAAATGTCTCTGGAGACTCCTCTTTTTCAGTTTTGAGAGCAACCTGTGATACTGTTTGGAGATTACATCCCTTGTAAAATTTGCTAGAATATTTACTGAACGCAGGAAGGATGGAAGAAAAGATGTAGCAAAGAGATTCGTACTCCCTGGACTGGGGATGTATTGAACATTATTGTACATTAGGCAGAAAAAAACATCCTGGCATAGAAACACAGTTACTACTGAACTACTCTAGTTACTCTTCAGATGAACAGTGATAGGTTCTTGTTATGAAACACAACGTAAAGTTCAGTTTGTACTTTGGCTAAAATTATCTATTGGAGTTGATATGATGCTCTTGTACTTCACTGCGTGTAGTAATACTAAAATTTAGTGTGGCAATGCTAAATGAATGCAAGGTAAATACAATGCAATACACATACATCATATAAATATATTTACAATGTAGGAGTATGTAAATGTATCAATATAAATTGATTGCAAATGCATTAATAATGCTCTGTCTTGGTTGGAATTACTTGCCCTCTGCTATCTGAGGGCAATACTAATACCTGATTTGGGGTTACTGGGGATGTTCCTAAGCGCTGCAGAAGCCAACGGAGGAGCGTTTGCTAGCGCAGAGGTTTCCTCTCCGTGCTCAGAGCTCTCATGCAGCTTCTTCCCTGTGTTTTGCAATGCCCTGCACTTCAGAACTCAATGTCAGGGTGAGGAAACTGGAGTGATCGACACTTTGTGTCTGTCTCCTCTTTCTGTGGACCGAACAGGGGATATCTTGGCATGAACGAGTTTTAGCACATCTGCTCCCTCCCCTTCCCTGGAATGTGGCTCTGTATTGGATCCCTGCAGCTCTGTGGCAGAGGGAAGAAGTCACTTGAAAGTGGGTTTCCAGAATCAAGCCTTAAAGGATAGTAGTGCTGATGAATAACTGTTTATTTCACTGAATATTTAGATGTGTACAATGACTTGGTTTCTCTTTCCACTCATTTTATCAGATTTTTCAAAGATTGATCTATGCCGATAAACAGGAAGTTCAAGGAGATGGTCCATTTCTGGATGGAATTAATGTCACTATCAGAAGAAATTATATTTATGAGGATGCTTATGATAAGCTTTCTCCAGAAAATGGTAGGTTTACAATAAATTTATAATGTTCTCAGTCATTCTTACCGTGTCATTACAAATTTGTCATTTCTTCAGTTCACGTAAAGTAATTCTCATCCAGATTCTGATTATTGTGGTTTCATTCTCTTTAACATGCCTTTCCTTCGCTCAGGCTAATGTTTTTATGGGACTCATTCACATGTACTTGTCCAATTAGCTATATTTTGTAAATTCACCCATCCAGCTCATTAGATACTGTCTTCTTTGGTAATCAGGATCAGCAAATGCTGTGTGCAGGCTAGGTATTTGCGCTAGGTAGGGTGTGACTGCAGTGCCCTGCATTCCACTGCACGGGTGCGTATCACAGCTCAGGATGGAATTGTGCAAGAACAGCTGCTCCAGAAGCCAAAATTCCAATCTGTCTATATAAAATCCTTGCTTATATAGGTATATAAAAATAATATTGGCCATTCTTTAGTAACTCAGTCTCACCTCCTGTGCCACACAAGTTCCTTCCTAGAGAACAGCCTAACTTGGAGGAGGAGGAGGAAGTGGTTGGTATTGGTTTGTATAAATTACTGGAGCTCGTGCCTCTGCTCCTTTAGCTTTGCTCTGATGCCTATCAGATAGTACAGATAATATTTTATTTATAAATGAAATTTCTTTCATTTAATATTTATACTTAAAACCTAAATCCCTAAAAGAGATATTTGAAAGAGATGTGGACTAGTCCATAATTTTTTTTAGATTAAGTAGAAATAATAAGCACTTATTATTTGTTGAAAGTTTTAATTAAAGAACAGGAAGATGTCAGTGAATAATCACCTCCATACTGTATGTGCTACTGACAGTATAGCCTCTTTTCTAGAGGTAAAGAATATTTTTGTTGTATGTAAATTTAGTCTGACTTGCTAACTGGTTTGCTTGAAATAGGTGAGCTGGAATAGAAAACACAGAAAAGATAAGACAGCCCTCCCTAATCACCCCCAATAACTGGAATTGGGAAGCTGTGGTTTATAAGCTCCTAAATGATGCAATGTCAAGTAAGAGGCAAATCAGCTCCTTAGCCCTATACGTAAGGAGGTGGTTAATATTAAGTTAGCTTTAAATGGGAAACACGTTTTGGTATTGTGAAGCAGTCAGTGTAATTACTATAGTTCATTTAGACTACGAAGGCGGTTTTAAAACACAAGTTTCCTAAACTTAACCTGCTATTTGATGACCTCGGCACTGGGATGGAATTCACTTTTTTTTTTTTTTTTTTAACCAAGTTTACAGAAAGTACCAAACTGGTGGAAAGAGTCAATATGCTAGAAAGGCAGGTTGCTGTTCAGAGGGACCCCACAGAGCGTTGAAAATGATTTACAAATACTTCATGAAGTTTAAAGAAGACAAAAGCAAAATCCTGTACCTGGGATGGATTTACCCTGTGCAGCAGTATGGGCTGGACCCTAACCAGCTGGAAGGGTGTTTGGTCACAAGGGACCTGGGGTTTACAGTGAACAACAAACTGACCAAGAGGCAGGAGTGCCCCCTTGACGAGATAAAAGCTCCCAGCATAACACGTTAGCTCGAGCAGAACCAGCGGTTCAGGGAGGTGATTTTTTTTTTTTCTTATTTCTTTCTACTCTGTTTTTTTTTTTTAGGATTTTTACAGCAAGACCCATTGAACAAAGCACATTCCACATAGTACATCAGTCTTTCACTCTTTTTTCTGCAGAACCCGACCTAAAAAAGCGCATTCGTGTTCACTTACTTAATGCACATGGCCTTGATGAAGCTGGCATCGATGGTGGTGGAATTTTCAGAGAGTTTCTGAATGAACTGCTTAAATCGGGATTTAACCCTAACCAGGGCTTTTTTAAGACCACCAATGAGGGACTTCTCTATCCTAATCCTGCTGCACAGATGCTTGTTGGAGACTCCTACGCCCGCCATTACTATTTTCTTGGGAGAATGCTTGGAAAGGTAAAAACACTGTTGTGTGAAATATACAGCTATACAGAATAGAAATTGTTTGATAGTGCTGTTTCTTTTCTTTTCCTTTTTTTTTGATAGCGGTAGGTAGGAAACGTCATCATTTCTCTACATTTGAGGAAAAACTTTTAGATGTTGGATCTGAGCATTATATTTGCATATTATGCAAACTTTTGATTCATTTTAATGAATTCGATATTAATATTTAAAGGATAAGGAGACTTTGGGACCTTAACTACCAGTTGAGCAAAATGTATACATGTCTGTTTTGTGCTTATCCTCTTGCCTAAAGTTAATTTAATTGATGCCAATGGAATTACTCTGTGTGGTTATTTTTAATGTAGAGCTTTCTGGAGTTTGACTTCAATTACATTTTCATCATTTTGAATATATGAAATTAATATTTGCAAAAACAAACAATTTCCAGTTGTCGTGAGGTTATTGCTAACATTGCTGACTGTGATCATATTTATGAGCCACATACAAATTGACTTTCACTAATTCTGTTTGGTTTATGATATATTTTGCATATTTCTTGAATGTTAGTGCTTGCTATTTTGGTTCCGAGGAGATTCGAAGACTAATACACTAATAATTGAGCTAGATGGAAAGTTAAAAAAAAAAAATAACAAAACATTATAACATTGTTTATTTTGCTTTTATGGCAGCTTTAGTACCGAGGATATTTCTTTCTAAGCCCTTGAAATATTTTTTTGGCTAGTAATATAGAAATTTAGTTACAACACAAGTTCCATTTCAGAAAAATGTGTTGATTGCTACTTCACTATCTAAAACTGAAGGTATTTATTATACCAAAATCACATTTTAATTTCTGAAATATTTTGAGCCTAAAATCCTGTTGACTCGTGATGAAATTTAGCAGAGAGCTGGGCACCCTTCTTTTAATCTAGCTGCAAGCAGTGTAAGAGGATGTTGTTGACGGTTGAGCTGCTGAAGCACCTCCCTGCTCTTTCAAATTGCCAGTGGGTCGATTTAGGTTAAATTGCCACTTTGTAGGCACATTCAGGGCTGGCCTCCCAGCTATTGCAACCTTCAGACTTGGGAAATGATGAAAACTTCAAATCGGCAGTTTCAATAAAATCATCTTTGAAGGATGTGGCTGCTCTTAATGGGAAGTGGATTCAGTGCTAATAACATTTAGGGAAGCTCTGACCACCTTTATGGATTCAAGGCTTCATTTCCTTTCCGCATCTATAGACTTTGGAGGTTGCCCCATTCCAACACGGGCTGGTGTTTGGCTAAGAATGAGCCAGGACTGAGTTGTCTGAGGAGGATTTGAAACGTTTTCAATGAAAGATTGTGGTTCAGGATCCCTCTGTCAAAACAGCACCCCGTCTTTTACAACTGGTCTTCAGTGTCAGTGCAAAGGCAGAAGTGACAAAACATGTTTTGTCCCTCCTACAAGTACAGTTTGATTTTTGCCTTTTGAAAATCGGAGAGTCTATTATTTAACACTTTGAAAGCATAAATTGTTTTTGTATTTGCGGTATGTTTACATAAGGAATGAATCGGCAGTGTTTTTTAATAATTACCTCTGCCCAGGTGCACAGACACCTTTTTACTGCTGTATTTAGAGAGCTGGTGAATTAAACAGAAAGATAAGGCACGGCTGCACTGTTCAGAACCTGCTGCTATTGTGGTCTTGGTCAAGTTATCAACTGCGCGCTCACCCGTTTCCCAAACGTGCCCATTTTGTGCCTTGCTCGGGATTATTTGGGAGCAACGGTACGTTATTAAAAGCCCCTTTGTAAACAGAATAGATGTAATGCAGAGGAAGCAATCAGGCATCCACAGCAATTCCTTATTTGTGGAAACCAGAATGCAAAGAGTGTGGCCACCCCAAACTCTCGCTTGGGAAGCTTCAGTGTTATCAGAAAACAAATACATTAAAACGTAATAATTTACATAAATTCTCTGTCTCCTGGTAACCATTTCATACTAGTATCTAAATGCATTTCACTTACAGCACCTTAAATTTATAACTAATTGATTTTTTTTTCCCC